ATTCAGAGCCCAAAGAAATCTCTTTAGGCAGGTTAATAATCATTACCAAAACGTGGGGAGAGAAGTCACATATGAATCTGCATAGATCAAAAGTGCAATCATCTAAAGGATGAAGAAATCTAAGGGAAGATTCATCGGAATAAGTACTGAAAGTTCCCTTGGGTATAATATCAACAGAGAAGCAGAGGAGCAGTGTCCAGCCAAGGGGGCTACAGTTGGAACTCAGTCTGGAATTGGCACTGGTGAAGAAAGAGTTTGGGGTCCCGGGCTGTGTGGAGGTCCTGTCTCGGCTTTGGATGAGGTGACAGAGTTCGTGGAATCAGGGAAAATGGCGAGAGAGGCACCAACTGGACTCACAGGCTTGTGAGGGTCATGCTGGTGACAAGTCACAGACAAAGTGGTTTTCTGATTCTGGATTTTCTGTTCTAAAACTTAGAAATGCTCAAAGAGTATTTAGAGTAGAAAGTGTAGCTCTTAGGATCAGTTAGGCCCAGCCCGGGCACAGCACAGGGTTGCCGTAGATGTAGGCCGGGTGCATTATCAAGGCTCTAGGAGTCGCAATTTTTTAAATTTATGGTGTTGTAGAGATAAAAAAAAAACAATTATATAAGTAATTTTTAAAGCATATGTCTTCAAACATAGCACCCAAATGTGTGGTATTAATACTAAATGGCCAAAGAAATATGAATAGTAGACACAGAAATTTTCTTAGCTAGAAAAATACCACAGAGATCATTTTATCAAATTCCTCCAAACTGGAAGAGGCAGAATCAAAGTCTATTGTAGGCACAAGAACAAACTCTGCCTATGTTTCCCACAGGTCTGCTCAACTTTCTTGACTTATTAATCTAACAGTTCTTGGTAAATCCTTATGATAGAAAGGGTCTACTTAGGCTGGAGAGATGGCTCAGTGGTTAAGAACACTGGCTGCTCTTCCCGAGGGCCCGGGTTCAATTCCCAGCACCCACATGGTGGCTCACAACTGTAACTCCAGTTCCAGTGGACCTGACACCCTCGCACAGACATACATGCAGGCAAAAACACCAACACACATGAAATAAATAAAATTTAAAAAATTTGCTTTTTAAAGAATTTACAATGAGACTTTTGAAAAAGAAGGAGAAGCTAAGTTAGAGTGATTGTTACAAATGTATACACTCTGATTTTTCGAAAGACAAAAATCTGTGTAGACTTTCAGGGGGCGGGTATGAGTTTAATATTGGCGCAAACGTTGAGACCCCAGGGAGCATTTTTGGCAACACAGCAACTGTTCTCAGGACTTTGTCTATTCTAAGCAGCAGTAGCAACAGTCAACTCACATTAGTAAGAATAAACTAAGGAGACAGCTGTCCTGGAACACTGCTTGCTAATCTGTCATATTCTGAAGGTTTGTGTGTCACGTGACTAAACTGTTGAGACAGTATATACGATATCTGAAAAATATTAAAAGTCTCTAAGGACATTTGGCAAAATGTAGTCTTGTGATTTTTGCCTTGGTGTTTTTTGTTTTGGTTACTTTGAACTGGGGGCTGAACCTAGGACCTAACACTTGTTCCTCTATCGTTCTACCACTGAGCTGAATCCCCAGCCCCACAAAATCCATCCTAGCAGGTACACTTGTTTGGAATAATAGTGTTTTATTTTGGGGACAGGGTCTCTTGTAACGCTAGTAGCTAAGGATTATCTTGAACTTCGGATCCTCCTGTCTCCACCTCCTCCATACTGGGATTACAGGGTTGTGCCAGCATGCCTGGCTTTACGTGATGCTAGAGAATGAACCCAGGACTTCGTGCAGGCTAGGCAAGCACCTGAGCTAGCTACATCCCCAGCCCTAGCATGGAGGTTTTGTCAGGTAACAAAGTAGCTGCTCACGTTTTGCCTGGGCAATGCTCAGCCAGCTAAGCGAGCATCCCTTTCCTGGATGGAGTTTAGTGGCTGCCAGGAAGGATGTAGGTGAAGATGATGACTCAGTTTGTTCATCTGTGGTAGAAGAAAAAAAAATCCATTTCTAGCTAAGGTGGAAATGCAGCCTCAAAACCTCACATTTTCCTATTTTCGCTTCCTCCAATGATTCCACTTTAGGTTAATGATCCAAAAGCTTCTGCTTTCGCATACTGATGAAATTTCATTAAGACTGCAATTTTCAGTTGTTGAGAGGCAGACATGCTAGACCTCAAAGTGTCTCTCAACCTGACACGAGCACATCTTGACATTCTAAAGAACAAATACCTCCTTTTGCGACAGTGACACCCTGAAATCAGAAGACATAAGAGAACAGATTATTCTTTGGGCCTTAGTTCTTTTGTTGAGGCACTGGTAAGGTTTGAGTCCACTATCTTGGGTCAGAGCTTACCGTCAAGACTAAAGGGAGGAAAGCTGCCTGGTAAATTCTATTCCCCATATGTTAGCTCCATATGGAGCTGCAACAAGCTGTCAGGCCACAAGTCCAGACTCTGAATGACATCGTTGCACGAAAATATTTGTCTGTGGGCTTTGCCATTAATCATCACACGATGAGGGTGTAAGTATAAAGCTTTCTATTTACGCCCAAAACAGCATGGCTGATACCTGATCAGGACCAGTTCCTGTGGGGCTGGAATGCGAGCCCCTTGTCTCTGCCGGTTGCTTACTTCTGCTACATGGTTAGGTGTGGATTAAAATACCGTGTCCCGAAGAGACAATGACAGAGAAGTTCATGCAGAGGGAGAGGTTACATAATTGCGAAGGCCAGCAGCAACCAAGGGGATCCGACTTTTGAGACTATTCTTACATAACATCTGAGGGCCAGTTAAGGAGACATGCAAAGCGAAAGTACCTGTACACCAAACTGATTGCTGTGTAAAGAAGGGCAAAAACAACAAATTCCCTGTATAGGAGCTTGTAGATGCTGCCTCTCCACTTGAGGAGCAACCTATGAAATCCAAAAAAGGTGGCATTTGCTACTTTACTGGAGTAAGTGACAGTCATCTCGGATAGTTTTGTTCTAGAAGAACAAGAAGACAAAAACACGGGTGAAAAATACGGTTGACGTTAGCACTGGCACGCACGCGCTTTTTCTAATCAAAGGAGACTAAAGCCGGCAACTGATTAGCTGACCCACCCTCCCCGCTTTCCCCCACTCCCTTTTTAGAGCTCAAAGATACCACCACCTCACTGTCTAGAATCTCAGTAATAAACCTTGAAGTGCAGAAGGGGAGGAAGGTGGTTTCCTGTAGGAGTGTTCCTAAAAGCCCCAAGATTTCTGTAATTGTTAAATCTTATTTTAGAGTCTATAGCTATCGCTCAATGAATACCAAATTAACACATGCGGTATACGAGACACATCACAATGCTGCTTCTTAACAGTAAGAGGATTTAGGAAACTTGTTTGCAAAACTGATGCTTCTTGAAATCGGTGGCCATACTCATTGGTCGGGGCCGTGTCCGCAAAATCCGTAAAGAGGTATTGGGTTCATCTTTAAACTTCCTAAGAGGAAAAAGCCACGGCCCACTTCTTTGAAAGCAGGAGCTATTGTGAGGAAGAAGCCGGGCCCTTGAAGCACTTTCGCTGATGGGTGACTGTGGCTGGTCTCACTGGGTAGGATGTGTGTGTCTACGTGGCCTCCGGATGCACAGTTGGAATTCTGTCCCTTTCAAAAGGAGACCATGTGCTGAGCAACCCTGCAGTTAAAAAGCTGCATTTTCCCTTCGGAAAGTCTCAGCGAGATCCTTAAAGGCTTTCGGCTCAGAGCTGAACAAAATGAGTCTTTTTTTTTTTTTTTTTTTAAGACGGTGACCTTGAATGTGGTAGTTAGCCAAGGATGACCTTGAGCTTTGGGTCCACCTTTGGAGTGAGTGCTGAAATTGTAGGACTAAGCCACTGTGCCTGGTTTCCTAGGGCCTGAGTCTCGGGGGTGGGGGGTGGGGAAGCACTCCACCGCCTGAGCTCCATCCCCAGAGAGTCCATGATCTAGGACTCCTTGTACTGGGTCTGTGCCATGAATGCAGTCAGGATGAGGATGGACCCCGAAGCCTGGTTTTCCCAGAGCTCTCTGCTTTGCCATTGCTTCTCACTGAGATGTATTATTCAACTTTGAGCTATCTCAAAGCTGATATATATATATATATATATATATATATATATATATATATATTGCTCAGCTACTGGCTAGCATAGTCACATGTGGATGAAATGAGATTTCTTTAAAATAGGAACTTTTCTCCAATGAAACTATGAGGCACTTCTCGCAGAGCCACTTAGACTGAGAACATGTAGTTTTAAAGTCAAATTATAAAACATACACACACAAAACCCATAGCATATTTCCCTATAGAGCAACCTGTAGCAGACGTTCTATCACAAGTAAGAAAATGTATGGTTCAGATAGGCACACACCCAACTGTAACTTCTCTGTTTTCTCTAAGGAAATAAGAGCTGGCCGCTGTATACACAGCAGCAACCACAGCAAAATCACTTATTTAGCCTTCAACATTATTGATTTTAGTTAAAAACCACACCAAGGCCTTTTGCAGAAGTCAGTGGCCCTACAAAAGATTGGGACGCCTACCACAAAACACGCTTTCCTCTTCCATCGCTCCCTCTTTGCCTGAGGAGAGCACAGATGTCACAGAGAGGGACACAGCAAACGAAACCAAATGTCATCAGCTGCTCTCCGGGCAGGTTGGGTTGGATAATAGTCTCTAGCCACCTTTCCTTTCTTCCATTTGCTCCTCCACCCTTCTATTTAGGCTCTGACAAGACCCCAAAACCCACAGAGCACCAAGGTCACCACTCAAGTGCGTAACCCGATGGCGCACTAACCTGTTTCTTCGGAGTCTCTCACCGGAAGGGAATCTTCAAATGTCAGGCTCTCCCTGAAGAGGCACCTTCAGATCGCTGCTCGGCTTGCACCCTTCACTTGTGGACCGGCAGGTTTCCGCCTGTCCTCTGGCTGCCGTGAGGTTCCGGCGAGTAGCGAGTCCGGGGTTAAATGTTTTTCCACTTGCAGAGACCTGTTTATGCCAGTTTGCCCACTGGTGACAGTTATAGCTGGGAACAAACAGAAGTGACAGCTGCTGATGCTGCTTTTTTCTAATCTATAATTATAACTCCACCTGCCGCCCAAAGTGCCCCTGTGAACGAGACTTTGGTGGTGGCGTGAAGACGTTGGGCTGTTTAAGTCCCGTAAGATTCATTTCAGCTCTGGCTCGGGATCAAGGAAGAAAGGCCCTTTTCTACTGAAAACTTCTGGATGTACTCCAGTCGCCAAAGAGGGAGATTAGGGCAGCCTTTTGCGCATGCAATGAAGAATAAATTCTTATGAAACCACACTCTGGGGCAGATAGAAATGTATACAAGAATCCTATTTGTCTGAGAGTAATTGAGACTGTTCTCCCGTTAAAAGCAACACGTGTGTGTGTGTGTGTGTGTGTGTGTGTGCATGTGTACCTAGGGTGCATGCATATTTGTATGCATGTGTGTGATATGTATGTGATGTGCATGTGTGTGCATGCAGGTAGTGTATATATGTGTAAGCACATGCACGTATGTATATTTGTGGGCGTGTGTATGGTATGTATGTGGTATGCGTGTGTATCTAGGGGGTGTGTTTGTGTGTAGTATATGTGTGTGGTGTATTGTGGGGTGGATGTTTTAGAAGTTCACAGAGAATCATGATGTGGGATAATGCGGTGTAGTGAAAAACCACAACACGTGGGTTTACCATGTTTTCGCCATGGTTAACAAAGGAAAACTTTGAATGATTTGAGTGGTTTCTTTCGGATTGAAAACAATGCATATTTTCTTCCTTAAAAGGGAATGTTCACCCGAGTTCCTTAGGTGGTGAAATAATTAATCTGAGGGCCGTTTCCTGGAACCCTTTCAGCTTTCGGAAGTAACTTGTGTGCCTGTCATTGCGCGGTGAGCTTAAGGAGAATAATGGGAAAAAGTGTTTGTTTTTGTAGAGAAACACAGAGAATAAAATATCTGAACAATCAAGACTAGGCTATGCCTGGTGGGTCATGCCCATAATTCTATCACTTGGGAAGCTGAAAGGAGACTTGCCATGAGTTCAAGCCTAGCCTGGGCAATTCCGTAAGTTCCAGGACAACCTCGGCTAATAAATTAGACTCTGTCTCAAAAAACCAACCAACCAAACAAGCAAAAAAAAAAAAAAAAAAAACAAAAAAAACAAAAAAAACCCAAACAAACAAATGGACAAATCCCTCCCCTAAAACCCTTAAGAATATATAAAATGGAAGAAATCCATATAACTAAAAATTAAAGAATTATTAAATTGCATGTGCATTTGGCCAACGTTGTCAAACTGAAAGTGCTTTACAGTCCTAACAGTGTAGGTGTTTTTTACTTCTCTGCCCTTATTCCCTTGTTCCTAACCTCATTCCTGTAAGTAATGAATATTCATTTAATAATTGTGAATAACTGATCTCAACACTGGGGCTCCAACTGCTGATATTGGATATTATTATTGTTTGATTATCACTTTTCCTCACTATTTCCCAGCTGTGAGTATCTTGGGGAATTTGTGAATATGCAGAAAGCATAGACACAGTATTTCGTATCTTATATTTGAGCTGCCATGAAGAGTAGTTGGATAGACCTGCAATCGCACTTACAAAGGCTTTCAGGACTGGGGAGCCCCAGGGAGTATAAGTTTATTTAAACCCTCATGTGTACAAAAGAGAAACAGTGCAGGCTCTCGACCTCCCTGCTGCATCTCCTAATAGGTGTATGGTGGTCCCCTAAACTCAGCATATTTGACAGCAGTCGTAACTGAGAACCAGGAGCCCAGCGAGCTTTCCAGGGCAGCGTGCTCGGTAAACACCATCACGGCTCCCATCAGGCTGTAGTTTTTCTGGTACAGAACATCAAGAACAGATGCGGTAGGACATCCATCCCTACGTAAACTAGTCACGAGACACGACTAAAGTCAAAACTTAAATAATACAAAACGCCATAAACAAAGCTTTAAAGCTTAAAAACTTATATGGAAGCTCGGCGGTGGCGGAGGCGCACGCCTTTAATCCCAGCTCTCGGGAGGCAGAGGCGGGCGGATCTCTGTGTGTGTGAGGCCAGCCTGGTCTCCAGAGAGAGTTCCAGGACAGCCAGGGCTACACAAAGAAACCCTGTTTTGGAAAAAAAGAAAGAAAGAAAGAAAGAAAGAGAAAAGAAAACCCTCATATGATTATTTTGTACTATCCATCTGTTTTGCTTTGAGACCGAGCCTCTCAGTGGTCTCGAACTTTCCCAGTAGACCAGGCTGACTGGCCCCAGGGAGCCACATGTCTCCACCTCTCTAGCCCTGGGATTAGGAACATGAGACATCATACCCAGCATTTTCATGTGGACGCTTGCGACCGAACTCTGCGTTTCCAAGGCAAACACGCCACTGACCGCGTCATCTCCCCGCCTGGGGTTAAATCATCATTTTCTCAACGTTTCAGTTCAGTTGATTTATGAACTGTATACAGCGATTCTTATTCCTATAGGTAAAGTTTTCCTGAGCCCCTTAGGTGGTAAGATTCCCGAGAACTCACGTCCTCTTCCCTCTTGGGTTTTCCTGATTTGGGGCTTCTTTAATGGCTTTTCCAGGGCTCTAAACCAGGCTCGGGAAGTCACGTGGCCGATACACACGCCATTAGCTGGGGAACTCTGCCCCATCCCCAGCCAAAGGCGATGGAAAACCTCCTCAAGCAGGCTCTCTCTTGGATCTCAGGGAGCAAAAGTGAGCCCCCAGAAATGGCAATACTGCTGCATGTTACAAATTTTCAGCTTTAAACCCACAGGAGGACTGGATATTTGAGGAGTCATCAGACTGCCCGGGCAGAGACTAAATGCCAACTCAACAAAACAGAAACGCATTAGTTCAAGTTCTGAAGGTGATCTCTGTTGAAATGGACGTGATGGAAAGCTTGTTCTATTTTAGAAACGAAAGCTCTGAGTCTAGAGAATTAGGACTTACGGGGCTGGAAACATATCCTGCGCTCAATAATCAATGCCATTTCTTAAGTGGATGGTAGGCTCTGCTCAGACACATTCCAGAGTGCTAGAGGGAAAAAGAATTACAGCATAGAATCAATTATAAATCAGTTCAATTTCACACACACACACACCCAACAACAACCCCAAACTCAGTAAACCCAAGTATATTGTTTATTCTGAACAGCTATGAGATTCTGTTACTTCACGACCAGTGTTTGGAAATCATATTATTGTATAGATCAAGGAAAGGTACGGGGAAATATCACCCTGAAATAAGAGGATAAGCCAGGTGTGCCGAGACAGACACATTGTTTCAGCAATCGGGAGGTGGAACCCTGAAGGTCCAGCAGGTTGCGAGTTCAAGGCCGGTCTGGGCTACGTGTGATCCCGATTCAAAAAACAAGTACGGTGGTGGAATATGGGTGGAAATGAAAAGCTATCGTTGCTTCTGGTTTCCTAATTTGGTTGATGGGACACTTTTCAGACATCCTTTTAGGTTTGGTACCTCGTCATAGCTCCTGAGTTTTGGGGAGGCTCCTGGATTTGGACTAAAGGAGTCAAAGAGAAACTTTAGGTTTTACCTCATATAAACTGTATTTTAAAAGTAACATCCATATTTTAATATTTTATTGGCTTTTTTATATACTATATTCTTATTAGATTCTTTCTCCCCCCCCCAACTTCTCCTAGATGCTCCCCGCATCCACCTTCGTGTTCTCTCTCAGAAAAAAAGAAGCAAAAAACCCTTAAAATCAAACCAACGGAACAAAACAGAAGCACACACAAATACATGGAGTCCGTTTTGTGTTAGCCAGCTACTCCTGATAGCCAACTACTCCTGATGGCCAGCTACTCCTGAGCGTGGGGTCTATCTCTGCGTGTGGTTGATGTCCCCAGGGACACTCTGTTGGAGAAAACTGGTTTTCTCTTTCCCAGTAGTTAGACATTGCAAGTAGCTTCTTGGCTAGGGGTAACTTTTGGCCACTTTCCCTTCTCGCTGCTGCCACTTTGTTTTATTGCTATGACACAGTACTTGACCAAAGACAAAGACAAAAGGAAGTGTTTGTTGTGGCTCTCAGTTCCACAGGAGACAGTTCATCACCACAGGGCAGCTGCCGCAGGGGGAGCAGGAAGCCACTGGTTGGCTTCACCCCCAGGCAGGGAGTAGAGAATGGGGAGTGCCAGCACTCAGTTAACCGGGCTCCATTTATGCAGTCTAGGACCCCAGCCTGCAGAACAGCACGTAGGTCTCCTCAGTTAACCTGATCTAGAAACCGCCTCACAGAAATGGTCAGAGATTTGTTCTTGTGGTTATTCTAAATTCCGCGAAGTGGAAATAGTTACCCATCATATTTTCCAGGCTGATACCTTTAGCTCAACTCAACCTTTTCTCAACTCTGTGGTGGTCAAAATGAGAATAGCCCCCCACCCCCCCCAGACTCATGCATTCGAAATGTTTGGGAAGGGTTAGTGTGGCCTTGTTGGAGGAAGTATATCTATCAGTAAGGGCAGGCTTTGAGGTTTCAAAAGACTCTTGACATTACCAGTTCCTCCCCTCCCCCCCCTCTGTACGTGTGTCTGTCTGTCTATGGATTGAGATGTAGGCTCTTAGCTCCTGTCCCAGGGCCAGGCCTGCCTGCCATCACGCTCCCCACCATAGTCATAGACTCTAACCCTCAGAAGCTATAAGCTCCAATACATGCTTTCCTTTCCTGGTTGCCGTGGTCGTGGTGTCTTGCACAGCAATAGAAAAGTAAGACAAACTCAACTTAGATTTGATGCTCCTGTGCTTCAGATTGAGCCCCCCCTCTTCTTCCTGCTTCCACTACTAACTTCATTAATATACAACAAAATTGCAGGTAAATTTACATTTTGCCCTTGGCAATTCCATTTCCAGGGACCCTAAGTATACCTACAAACAGCAGGGGTTGGGACCCCCTCAGGGAGCCAAACGGCAAATTGACTTTGGGTCTTTAACCTGTTACTGGCTAGATGTGTGGTCTCAATAGCTCTTCACAAAACACCAGATTAGTCCGCAAAGCCAGAATGTTTACAGATTAAGAACCTGTTAGACTGGATCAAACTAGACCTGATGGGGTATGAGGTGGCCACAGAGATGACAAGCAGGCCAGGGGATTGTTGCTAAGGAAAAGACTCATCTTGGAAAATGACCCCCAGAATCAGCTCAGATGTTAGCCTGCCTTGGGAAAATCTAGACTGTTGCTCTCAGACAAAATCACCGGTTTGGGAGGTCACACAGTTGCACCTGACACTGCTTGCTCTAGGCCGGCGCTGCTGCAGACAATGTCTTGGGTAGGAGAATTCTGCAACAGGGTATTTTCTTTGTAGAGACCTAAAAGCTGTTTTTGTTTTGGCTTGGGAGCCCAGTCTTCAATGGGCCGAGCCATATTTCCAGCCCCAAAGTTTTTTTTTTTTTTTTTTTTGGTTTTTCGAGACAGGGTTTCTCTGTGGCTTTGGAGCCGGTCCTGGAACTAGCTCTGTAGACCAGGCTGGTCTTGAACTCCCAGAGATCCACCTGCCTCTGCCTCCCGAGTGCTGGGATTAAAGGCGTGCGCCACCATCGCCCGGCCCCCAAAGTTATTTTTGCTAAAAAACAAAACCAAAACAAACTACCACCACCACCAACAAAAATCCCACTTTCTTTGGGGCTTAGAGAGAGGGCTTAGTAGTTAACTGAGTAGATCTGAGCTTGGTTCCAAGCACTCACAAGGCAGATCACAGCCATTCCATGAGATCTGATGCCCTCTTCTGGCCTCTGTGGACGCTGCATGCACATATAGGCAAAATACTGATACACACAAAGCAAAAGTAAATCTTACACACACTCACATGCAGTCACACAATGCACAGACATTCATGCACACATAGACACACACACTGTCTTACACACACAAACACACACACACACACACACACACACAGTGACTCCACCATGGTGTCTACTTATATCTAGTGGGCCCTAAAATGGGATGAAAAGTATATCTTATTTCTGCCCCCAAATTGTGTCTATCCCCTTAAACTTTGGGCCACATTTTACTTTTCTTTTCATGTTGGTCATTGAAAATGTTTTGTTCAAAGCTATAGTGCAGGGTGAGCCGGGCCTGCCACCTGTTGGATCTGGGATGCGTTTCTTCTACTCCTTTCCTGGTGCTTTCTCTGCAACACCGGGTACCGAGAGCCGTTCAGCCTTTGCAAGGTCAGGATGTTGATGCAAACAAAGGTAGCTCAGAAGTTCCTCGGTTTAGTTGAATGCCCGCTGTGCTGCAAATCTCAAGGCTAGAATACCTGTGCACAAGAAGGAAAACATCTTTTGAAATCTTGCCCATGACCAACAGGCAATTACCAAACTTCAGTCTACTCCCGAAAAAAAAAATCAATAAAAACCTGTTGCTCCCTTTGAGAAGCAAGTTGTCCGTCTATTTCTTTGATGACTGTTAGCTCCCATTTGCTCAGGAGCCGAACTTTCAGTAAAGCCTTGCTTCTCTCGTTCTTAATATATGGCTTTGTCTCCTTTGTGCTGACTCCATGCCGTAAGAGCCCACTGCCTGGTCATAAGAAAAAAATGCCTATGTGCCAACTCATTCATTGTAGTATGGTTTGTAATTGCAAAATGCTGGAAAGAAATACTAGATTCCCATATGTAGGAGGGTGGGTGATCAAAGTGGTGCATTAGGTAGATGCGGCTATAAAAAGGAACAACAGAGATCCTTATAAATCTGTATGGTTTACAGGGTATACTTGCAGCTGCGGGGAAAGTACCAAGAATCACTTATAGCAAATAAATACATGATGAGACCCTTGACATCATTAGTTTCGGGGTAAACACAAGTCAGAGTGGCAAACAGGGTGGCTATGAACTGCGAACAAATCTGGGAAAGGCATTGTGCAGGTAGCTAAGGCAGGAGGGCCACGAGTTCAAGGCCAGCCTGGACTACAGAGCAAGACCCTGTCTAAAACAACAACAAAAACAAAGAAACAGGAGAATCAGAAAACAAGCATCAGTGAGGATAGGGAGAAATTTAAATCCTTGCACCTTGCTAGTAAAAATTAGAAACGTTGGTCCAATCAAAAGTAGAAAATAAATTGGTGGTTCTTCAGAAAGTTAAAGATTGTCATCCTATGGTCTGTTGACTAGTGAGGTTCCATAGACCCCAAAACATTAGAGGCTACTGATACTGCTTTTGGTTTCCATCAAGTTCTAGAGTGCCCAGCGCACAAAACTGGAGCTCACCTGGAAGCGTCGTACCTATTGGTTAGCTTTCACAGTGCCAGAAGGTACGATGTTTACTACCAGGCAAGAAAAGTAACTGCCAGCCATATCTGCTGAGGCCATTGCAACCTACAAAAGTCACTGGGCTGGCAAGACACGGCCTCTGCGGCAACAGTGGCGTGAGCATCACCGGAGTAATGGAACCAACCACTTTTTCGTTGGATTTGTCTCACTCCACAAGATCAAACCCAAACCCATTATAAGGCCAAGGACCTATGATGAGACAGTTCTTAGGCCCTGGGTGAGAACCCATTACTGTAATTCTGCTGAGTAGACAATATAACTGTGCACTAATGACTTACTGTTAAATATATAGATAGATGCTTCTCTTTTTCATTGTATGGTTTGTTGTGTCTCCTAACAGCACAAGCTGCCTGCTTATCCCCACTGTCAGAGCGCTGGGTGGCAGAGCCCTTCCGAATGGATTAGTGTCTTTCCGAAAGAGTCATGAGACAAGCAATTCTGCCTCCTGATGCTCTCTCCCTCGCATGAGCTGGCTTGTCTTTCTGTCACACAGCACTGTGGCGCAAAGGCCCTTGATAGGCTCCCGCATCATACTCTTGAGCTTCCCACCCACCAGATAGATCTCTTTTCTTATAAAGTACCCAGCTTGACCTTCTCCTATGGTGACAGCCTTATCTTAAGTCTTAAGACAGACTTAGTACTGGCACGCGCGCGCACACACACACACACACACACACACACACACACACACGTGTAGGCTCAGTTTCTATTTTCCCTGAAATCGCCAGTTCTTCAAAGGACCCTGCACTTACTCAGTCCTGTGACACGCTTAAAGTAGTTACAGAATAATCTTTGGGGAGAACTAGCTAGCTGAAGTGTAATATTTGTGTGCAGGGTTTTATGCCCCGAGCATTGGGTTCTAGCATCAGAACACCACATTCCAGAGCTGACAGGATGTCGGACCAGTGCCTTTCAAGAGTCAAGGAGAGAAAGGCTATGGGTTGTTGTAGGTAGGAAGAGAGAGCAAAGAAATGGCTGCTGGATCTCGGTCTAGCTAGGATATTTATGAGACAAACGGTAGAGTTAGATAAAGTTGCCAGGTTAATAACAGAGTTGATCAAGGTTGGGGGTGCAGCTTACTGGTAGAGAGGATTTTATTTCCGCTTGCGGTTGTGGTCTACCATGAATTGGGTGGGATCTTCTGGAAAAACATCATCACCCTTACAGCTGAAGGGGAAGGGGGAAAAAATGCTAGAATTTGGAGAAGGCAACTGAACGTTAAGGCCAGGGCTGACAGGGTCCATTTACCCACAGTAGCCAGACAGGGCTTGACAGGTACACCAGTTTTACTCAGCCCTCCAGGGGTGCTCGACTTCCTAACTCTAAAAACCTTTAATACAGTTCCTCAGCTGGGTGGTGGCGGCACATGCCTTTAATCCCAGCACTGGGGAGGCAGAGGCAGGTGGATCTCTGTGAGTTTGAGGCCAGCCTGGTTTACAAGAGCTAGTTCCAGAACAGGCTCCAAAGCTACAAAGAAATCCTGTCTTGAAAAACCACACACACACACACACACACACACACACAAACCAGTTCCTCATATTGTGGTGACCCCCCCAAAACCATAAAATTATTTTTGTTGCTACTTCATAACCATTATTTTGCTACTGTTGTAAAGGGTAATGCAAATATCTGTGTTTTCTGATGGTCTTAGGTGACCCCTGTGGAAGGGTTGCGACTCCTATGTTGCTAGGGCCTTCCATTTGACACACCCAATCAGAAGTGAGAGGTCAGTGCAAACATGTCTACCTCAGGGCCCTGGCGCACAGAACTTATAGGGGAGTGTTGTGGAGGAACAGAGGAAGGGCACCATCCACCTCTCCCTTCTCACTTGGCGAACAACAGAAATGACCCTCGAAGAAGTGAAATTCATCCAAGATCATAGCAAAAACGTAGCTTGGGAGAATTGAAAACTCACCAGTCTGCTCGTGGGAAGACCTAGGTCCTTGTCTTGACCAGGCCACCAGCTAGGCCTCAGACTCCATACTATGAGTTAACAGGGGTAGGCAAAAGCAGTAGTTTATGCTTGCTTCTGGGTAGATACGAGTTTCTAAGCCAAGTTTTTCCTAAATGTATGGTAGAAAGCAACGAGTTTGATAGTATTTTTGTGCAAACATGCCATGCACTTTGACCATATGCACTCCGCATTATCCTCTCTTGTTTCCCTACCTCTCAAATATTTCTCCTTTTATTTTCATGCCACGTACAGTGCACACATGTGTGGCATATGCACACGCACACACACGCACACGCACACACACACAGAGTCCTCGGGTTCCGCATACGGGAGGAAAGATGTAACACTTGCCTCTCTGGGTCTGGATCACTCCACTTAACATGCCAATCTCCAGTTCTATTTGTTGTTCTGGAAATGGTATAATGTCATTCCTCCCCATGCCTGGATTAAACGCCATTGTGCATAGATATGCACACTTTATCCGTTCGTCTGTTGCATTTGGATCGATTCTATGACTTGCCGTGCAGGTGTATTGATGTATTTCTAAGGGAATATGAGTATGAGTTATTTTAAGTGGATTTTAAAACACAGTTTCTTTATATGTGTTCTCTCCTGTGCTTTTCTCCCACTTGGCAAAAGAAGAAACTTGCCTCTCATCCATCTTATATAATGGGAGATATGAAACTTTGGGGGACCCAAACAAACCTGGAAAGCGCACAGTCCTTTGGATTCTCGGGGCAGCACGCTGGGGGTGTGGGGGGAGGGGCTGCCTCTGGGAATTCCTGAGAAGAGCCCTGATCACTCACAGCGGACGCCCCCACTGTACACAGTCTTTCTGAGGCGGGGTCAGTCTCATGATGGAGCAGTTCACCTTGAAGTTGGGAGTGGGTCTTGGTCTACTTAGGACAATCCTAGGCTGCTTCAGACAATGAGCTCTGGATCTCTTCCTGGAATATCGGGTGCACGATGTGCCGAGTTGACTGGTACAACCACTGGCGATAACAGACAGTTACCTCAACCTCTTCTGCTGTGTTTTCATTCTTTTTGTTTGTTTGTTTTTTTTTCAAGACAGGGTTTCTCTGCAGCTTTGGAGCTTGTCCTGGAACTAGCTCTTGTAGACCAAACTGGCCTCAAACTCACAGAGATCCCCCTGCCTCTGCCTCCCAAGTGCTAAGATTAAAGGCGTGCGCCACCACGGCCCCGCCTGTGTTTTCATTCTTGTATACAACCCGCGTCTTCACAAGAACTAGTTCTCAAGAGCTAGACGGAGTCAGGAGCATCCAAAACCGGATGCTGCTTCCCTTTGAATATGTTTAAACTACCACACAGAGAGCTTGCTGCGAGTCTTAGGATTCCGTGCACCTGGAGAGCTGAGAACTCTCCACGATGCTGATGCTGAGGTTCATAGCTTTCAAATTATGTTTGACTTCCGGTGTTAGTTTTGTCTTCATGTTTCTCCAAATAGTCTCTCCAGTTCTTGAAAAATACTGCTATTGTTCTAATAAAATGACATATTGTAAAAGTTCACACAGTATAAAAAAAGAAGGATGAGAAACCCCAAATTCTAACACTCAGTGATAATTATTGACTTTGGGAGTGTGTGTGTGTGTGTGTGTGTGTGTGTGTGCTGTGACTGGACACATTCCATGCCCAGGTATGCATGTATGCATGCAATTTCCACAAATGAGATCTCATTACACCTTGTGGTGACTCAATCTTTTTTTTTTCTTTCTTTCATTAAAGCACAGATACTTACTTTGTTTCCCAGTTTTTGAAAGGCAACAAATAACAGCAAACCATATATCCTATCACCATTACCTTTCACGAATTCTATATTTATAGATTTTTTATTTAGTCTAGACAGGGAGATTAGATCTGGCTGCCCAGCAGTCTAAAGG